CCCCCCGAGTGCTTCCTCTTCCTCCTCCTCCTCTTCCCCCGAGGCCCTGGGGTGGCGTCCCCACTGGGCTGGCAGGAGCCCGCCTCCAGGCACAGGCGTCTGATGTCTCCCGAGCGGGGCTTCTTTTTCTTCCGAGGAACAGTCTGGGGGGCCTCGGCCTCCTGCAGGTGGTCCTGGGGGTGTGTGGAAGCCCCATTGACCTGAGGCCGGGCGGTGGGGGCAGAGGGGCAGCTCCGTGGCTCCGCTCTCCTGAGAAGGTGGGAGCTAGTGGGCGATGAAGGACAGGTGGTGTGGGGTGGGAAGGGCGGCTGAGGGTAGCTGGGCGGTGGTGTGGGGGCGGGAACAGTCCTGCAAAGAAAGCCAGGCATGAGGACCCCCGCAGACCCCTGCTGACCCCGGGCCTCAACTCGCCAGCCTGGTAGTCGCCAGCTGGAGACGCAACTCTGGTCACTGGAGGCAGGAGGACAGATAAGCCGCACACCTGCGCCAGAGACGCAGGAGGCAGCACACGGCACCTCCTGTCCTCAGCCAGTGGGGCCCACACGCCAGGACCCACTGCCAACAGCCCGGGCTCAGTTTCTCCGCATTGGAGCAGGCCTCCGGGGATGGACACCCCCCACTAAGAGTTCAGAAGGAGTTGGTGGACCTTGGGGGGATGGCCATGTGGGCCTTGGGGAGATGGGTACCCTGACCAGAAGAGGAGGAGGACTCAGGGCAGGGTTTGGGGGGACGGGCACCCCACCAGGAGGGCAGAGTCCCATGGCAGTGGGGCAGGGCAGGACACAGAGCTGGTCCCGTCAGGGCCCCACATAACCATGCTCCTGGACCCACTCTGCTCCTTTGTGGGAGGCTCCGCCAAGGGAGCCGAATCGGGGCTGAGAGGGCCCCTCGCTCAGGGAAACATTCCACAGGAGGACTGGTCGGTGCCCTGCCGAGGGGACGGCCCATGCAAGAGCACACGCGATGGGGAGGCCGTCCGTCTGGGAGAGGCCACGCTGTGACCAGCAGGCAGCCCACTCCGCCTAACCAAGCTGGAGCCTCAGCAGCCACCTGACCACAGTGGATGGGTCACTGCTCTTTCTGCCACCCTAGCTGTCGCAGAAGTGCCTCGGGGGAGCCCCCAGCCCGGGCAGTGTGTCTGAAGGCCAGGATCAAGGACCACAAGAGTGAGTCCCTGCCCCGGAGGCCATGCTCCCAACCAGCCTGTCGACCATACTGTGGTGCTCAGATCACAGACGGGCGGCCAGGGGGTCTACAAACAGCCTGATGCAGGCAGGTTCGGCGCCCACAGGCTCACTGGATCCACCAGGGCCCTGTGCCACCCAGCTGCTCTCCGCAGGCCGGGGCTTTTGGGAAGGGTCCCTGGTCTGTGGTTTGAGGAGCCTCTGGCTATTGAGAGCTATAACCAGTGCGCATCCAGAGAACGGCAGACGGACCACCGTGCCTCAAGGGCCGCCCTCAGTGGGCAGCCGACTCTTCTTCGCCAGATGGGGCACCTCTGGGCCTCCTGGCTCTGTATCTCCCCACGGCCCCCACCCAGCCCCCAGCTCACCTGCTCTGACTGGCCAGCCCAGTGGACGGTGGGCGGGGAGGTGGACAGAGGTCAGTGCTGCTCGCCCTCCGCAGGGTGCGGGCCTGCAGTTATCGACATAAATAAAAACTTGGTGGTCTAAAAAAGGTTTCCGTGAATGAAGAGGGCAAATGAACATGAGAGCAAATGAAAACAGACAGACAGACAGACAGACACAACACAAGGAGCGCAGAGAGGAGGGAGGGTGAGGGCGCGGAAGGAGACGGGAGGGTGGGCGGTGGAAGAAGAATCAGAGTGGTTTTGGTTAGAAACAGAAAGGAACCAAGGAAGGAGTTACACAAAAGCCCAGCTCGGCTGTGACCTTGACCACAGTGCAGTGTCACTGCCACCTGGGACCCCGGCCTGCCGGCCCAGCCAGGGTCTGTGCCCCACCTCCTGGCCCTCTACACCTGGGAGGCCACCTCCCAGGGATACTGGTCTTCCTGACCTAACCGCCAGACCGAAACGATGGAGCCTGGGCTGCCCCTCTACTGTCGTTAGTACCACAAGCCACCCCAAGGTGCCCCAGCTCCCAGCGTGCAGACCCTCCCCCCAGGAGGACAAGCAGCCTGTGGCCCCTGCCCACCTTCTTGGCAGCTGACAGGGCCAGTTTCTTGGCTGGGGGTGGAGACAGGATGCTGGCAGCCTCCGTGGCCATGTTGCTCAGGGTGGGAGACTTTAGCTTCACCATTTTGGGATCACCTCCCCGCGGTATCGCCTTGGGGTGGCCGTTGGCAGGACAGTCTGTTTCCTGAGAATTGCAGAGGCGGGCGGCGCCACTCCTGGGGGTCTGGGGGGTGGCGCTGTCAGCTGAGTGGTCAGGGCTGGAGCTGCTGGAGCCTCGTGTCGAGGACGAGGACGAGGAGGAGCAGGAGTCGGGGCTCTGGTCGCGGGTCTTTGGCCCGTGCCCATTGGTGACTGCTCGGGCCAGGAGCTTCGGTGAGGTAGAGGGGACGGTGTCCTTGCTGTCCCAGCCTGGCCGCCGGCTCTCTGACCTGCTGCCGCCGCCACTCCAGTTGCTGGTGCCGCAGGGCCCCTGAGAGGTTTTGGGGGACAGGCAGAGGTGCTGCAGGGGGGCGCATTTCTTGACCTTCTTCCCAGGCTCATCCAGAATGGTAGGCGTGTGCATCGGCGTTTTGGAGAGTTTGGGGGACGGGGTCCCCGAGGGTGGCTTTTGAGGGACCGCCCCGTTCTGTGGCTTCAGGCCAGTCAGAGAGCCGTTTCGGGAGACAGGCACGCCAAGCTCCTCCACGGCCTGCAGCTTCTTTGGGGTCATGGGGTCTTGTCGCTGGGAGAGAACAGAGCAAGCAGAAAGGAGGCTCAGTCAGACACCCACTCCGTGCCCCGGGCACGCGCACCCCAGCACGCGCGGCAGAAGTCCCCTGACCGTCCAGCTCATCTCCCCCTCGGAGCGGCTGGCAGGTTCAAACTGGCGAAGCCCAGGCAGTGTGGACAGCTCCCTGTCTGGGGACAGTCTTAGTAGACTGGGCACTGTGTGTGGACGGGGTGCATGCATGCGTGTGTGTGGATGTGCGCGCGTGTGCGTGTGTGTTCCACCGCCATCTTTACTCAGTAAGACTGGAAAACCACAAAAAAACTGACAGAGAACAAGAAGCGACTTCCAGTCTCAGCGTCTAGACCAGGGGTTCGCAACCTCGTTCACTGGGGTCGCCTGAGAGCATCGGGAAACACATCAATATTTCACAATATATAATTACATATTGTTCTGTGTTTAATCGCTATGCTTTAACTATGTTTAATTATGTTCCATTTGTAACAATGAAAATACATCCTGCATATCAAATATTTAATTACAATTCATAACAGTAGCAAAATGATAGTGATGAAGTAGCAACGACAATAATGTTATGGTATGAGGAACTGTATGAAAGGGCTGCGGCCTCAGGAAGGTGGAGAACCACTGTTCTAGACGGAAGCTCTGGGTCCCTGCAACAGCTTGGCTGGGTGTAAGCAGCCCAGCCTGGCTGCACACACGCTCCAGGCATGGACGGCCACAGCGTCTCCACACGCGAAACTCCCCAACTTCAGCCACGAGAGATAGTGACAACTGTACCCTGAGAGTCTATCCTACGACTGAAGGCTCTGTCCGGCCTCCCTGCTCGCAGACACCCAGTATGCCCCCACTGCTCACCTCGTTTTTGCCTCGTACTGCCCCGGCCAGGGCAGCCAGCTCAGGGCCTCATGCAACCCAAGGGTGGAAGCTTTGTCTGGACTCAAGCCAGCCAGGTTTCCAGAAGTGGACCCTCCCGGCTGTGAGCACAGTGGCTGGGGGCTGTGGTGGCCTCGGGCTGTGAGCATCTGTTCCCACCGTCCCAGCCAGGCCTGTCGGTCACCAGTGGGACCCTTCTGTTGCAGAGTGGCATGCAGCTGGAGGACGGCTACAGACAGACACAAAGCTGAATCCAGGCCTCTTTCACGCTCCTCGGCTTCACGCCTCCCTTCCGGAGCTTTGAAAAGAAGTCTCGTCCATTTTCTTGGGAGCCGTTCCCGGCCCCTTCAGTTTCCGACAGTACATTCCTTATGAAGAGCTCTGTCCAAGGAGCACAGCTCCCAGGGTGCTGCTGCTGTGAGCGCCAGGGGACCTGCGTGCACTCACTCTGGTTGGTTGAGCATGAACGGCAGGCTTCAGCGCAGGGCACCTGAGTGATGCCCGTGACACCGACAGCCTCTGGGCAATGCCCGCACGGCCGCTGAGTTGCAGGGCCTAGGCTGCAGGGATTGCCAACCTTGCATGTAAACCATGGGCCTTAAATGCTGGTGGGTCACAAGGCTGGCGGCTGGAACCCCCGGCTGCTCGGCAGGAGGAAGATGAGGCTGTCTGCTCCCGTCAAGATCTGCCCCTGGGAAACCCACACGGGCAGTGCTGCTCTGTGCTGGGTGGCAATCGAGGCTGGGTTGGGTTTGATTCCAGTGTTTGACACTTCCGCCTTTGCCCCCACTCTCTTCAATGACTTCTATATACTTGTTGAGAAGGGTCACGGCAGGGCCACACCGCCTCAGCGTGTCCACGTGCACAATTATGGCACGTCACCCTGGTGACCCTCCTCGTGAGCCCTGAGATTGCCTGTCGTCGGTCGGTATTGCCACCCCGGTCCCACGGGGAGCGCTCACAAGAGCGCGGTGCTCAAGAAGACAGCCTGGTTTGCAGCTGTCCAGTGCCCTCAAGGGGACGCTGCCCGTGAGTGACCCCGTGGACAACAGAACACGGGTTGCGGCGCCAGCCTCACAAATAGCACGTCCGAGCCCAGGCTGCAGCCGCTATGCCAGTCCATGTCTTTTTCGCTGCCCTTCTACTTTACCCAACGTGAGTCCGTGCCCAGTTCGAGTGTGCTCAGCACGCAGATGGTGAGCGGATACAACCACGACAAACACCTTCCCGGGTTCTAAGCCACACAACACTCCCTTGCTCTCTCGCAGTGACTACCGCTCGTTCAACGTACAGGCTCTGCAAGTGCCATTCTCCTCAGTGCTATCCAAGGCTGCCTACTCCACAGTCAAGGAAACACGTCTGTGTGGTGCGCTCTGTTCACAGTACAGATGCACCTGACGTCCGCAATGACATCCCTTCTGAAGCCAGCTTGGGTCTCTGGTACCCAGTCACTGCTGCAAACGTTGAACAATCTTCAGGGAGCCTCCTGTGTGACATCTGGGAAACCAGAAGCTGAGGTGTGAAGCGACCAGTAACTGAACATTGCAATCAAGAGATTCCACAGAAGGAATCCTGATCAAAAGGGGGGAAGGTGCAGAACAGAATTTCAAGTGCTCATGGAATCCAAAGTTTCTGGAGCCACGGAGGCTGGATGAGCTCCTGAAGCTGTTGCCGTGAGACCGTCTTTAAACCTTAAACTTTAAACCTTAAATCACACATATCCTCTGAAGGCCTCTTAAAACCCAAGTGGGAGTTTAGCTTCATCAGTAAAGACTGCCCACCCCTCGTCAGTCAGTCTGTGGTCTTGCACGGGGCTGTGCTGCTGCTGGAAGCTCTGTCCCTGCTTTGTCAAATACCAGCAGGGTCTCCCAAGAGGAACAGGCTTCAGCGCGCTCTAGCTTTACTGCCGTCTTCTCTACGCACACCATAAGAAGGAGCTCCACGGAGCGCATGGAACAAGTCAGTTATCTTCCAACATCATCATCCGTGCGCTTTTCAAAACCCTGGAGTGTATGCATGCAAGTGTGCGCATTACCACCTGGCTCAGCTACAGACACCCGTGACCCCTTGCTCCTCGCTCACTCGCTCTGTGCACGTTCTGGAACAAGGACTCACTCAGCTGACCACAGCACAGGAGCACAATGGACCACAGTGACACAGCTTCCGCATCACGTAGCCACTGCAGCGCCACAGCGGGACGTCCAGTTAAATTGCCAGGACAGAAGCTCGCTCGGAGAATGATGACAACAGCTGCACAGCTCCAAGGATGTAACCAATGCCACACACACACA